TTTACTCACCCAGTGCATGGGCAATGAGCACTGTCTCTATGCCAGACATTGCTAGCTCCTTGGGAAACCATGGTAAACAAGACCTGCTATCCTGCAAACATAAAGTAAGTGAGGGGCCAGGGATTTAGCTCAGTGGCACCTGCCTCACAAGCTCAGGGTCCTGAGTTTAATCAGCAGTACATAAATACATACATGCATACATACATACATACATACATATGTAGCAAGAGAGTAGAAAGGAAACAAACAAGAATCAAACACACTAATAACACCATTTCAGGTAATGATAACCAGGAAGAAAAATAAAGCAGACTAGAGGGCAGGGCTGCTACTATGGATGGAGGTCAGGTAGATCAGGGAAGACCTCCCTGCAGTGTCATTTGAGCAAAGATTGGCAGAAGCAGCTTCTAGAAAGATTGGTAGCACTGGCCACAATTGTTCCTCAAAAACATTTCCCTTTTCACAACTACTGTCATGCCAACCCCTTGCTCTCACTCTTGCTCCCCAGAGTCTTGCTCTTTTTCACAGAGAAAATAGCAGCCATCAATAGGAGCCCTAAAAGTCAGACCCCAAACCTGAAAAACATACACCCAGCCTTTCTACCTATCCTCGTGTTCCAGAAGACGAGGTCTGGGGAACCATGCAAGTCCAACACCCTTACAGTCCTCCTTCCTCCCATGATCCATCCCCCTGCATTATCACAGTGTCCACCTCTTTCCTGAATCCTTCCCACCCACATTTAAAACATGCTCAAGTCTTTGCCAACTAAAAAAATGGCACAGATGTGGGGAGGGTGTGTTTCCCTTGGTCGTGCTTCCTCCTATTTCAGCTGTTGCTCTATTTTCCTCCTCCCTTTAAAACCTACATTCTCAGTCATGCATGATGGTGCACACCTGTGGTCCTAGCACTTGGGAGGCTGAGGCACAAGGACTGCCTTGAGTCCAAGGCCATCCTGAACTGCATAGAAAGACCCTCTCTCCAAAAACAAAACGAAAAAATAGAAAGAAAAAGAAAGAAAATAAATCTAATTTCTCAAAGGGATTCTTCGCTCTTCAGCCCCCACTTCCTCGTCCACTTCTGCTGAAGTACCCAGTGACCTCCTTTTGTTGCATTCTGAGGACTGCCAGCTGCTGTGCCATAAATGACCCTCCCTTTTTTGCTCTCCCCCAGATCACCTTCCCTTCTCCTGATACTCCTCTCAGCACGCCATCCTCCAGTATGATACTCCCCCAAGTCCTACTCTTGGCCTTTTCCCATCCTGTAACTTGTACCTGGAGGCTTCATCTTCTCCTATGTCTTTCTTTGCAACCTACCTGCCAGTGGTTCCTCACTAGACAGCTCACCCCACCTTAACTTCCTCCCAATGTCCAGAAGCATCATCAACCAGCCCCTCCAGACATCAATGGGTGACATCCTACAGGCCCCTCAGACATAAGTGAAACATAAGTGCATACACATGTGTTTACACACATCATGTTTTCCCACCAAATCTGCCTTCCTCTTGTCCTTAGGAACCGCACCATCATTCATCTCAATACTAGCAGCAGTATAGGATGTGGTTTACTCCAAGGTTATAGCACTGCCAAAGGAGAGACCTGTGGAGGCCGGCCCTCCTTGCTTCAGGCCCACCAAGTGACTTTTACTTCGACATCAGCAAAGCAGACTAAGAGAACCAGATGTTGCAGCTTCCAAGAAGAATATCCCACTGTGAAGCTCTGCAATTGAGTGCCCAAGCCTCCCACACCCAGACATTGAAGGGTTCCTTTAATAATTGCCCTCAGAATAAATCAAAGCCTTTTGGCATGATCACAAAGATCGACATGAAATCCCTAACCTGCCTCCACACTCATCCTATCCATTCTGTCCTAACTCTTACCATTCCAAAGGCGTTGAGCAAGTGGCACATGCATAAATAATGCCTCAAAAGTCAAATTAAAGTCTTAAACAAATAGCACTCTTTCCAGGCTCTGTGCTGGTACCTGGGTAGGCTCTTCTGTCTTTGAGCTGCACTTACACAGGCTGCTGCTTTCCAGCCTGATGGGGCTCATCTCCGCATCACCTCCCTGGATCTTCCCTGATTGCCAGGCTGAAGACTCCTTTGTCTGGAACCCAAAATACTTGTGCTACCCATCTCTGTCAGATCCAGTTCCTCTAGGGCACTCAGTTTGTCTTCTTTCTTCAACCTCTGGTCTCAGCACAAGGCCAAACATGGACTTGTTTATCAGGCAATTTTAATTAATTGGGAAAACAAAAGACCAAAGACCAGGCTGATCTCAGAGACTAGGTTGATATGAGGAAGAAAAAAGGACAAAGCAACCAAATGTCTCATGGTGTTGTTCATCAAGAATTTCTCCACAATGGTTTACCATTTGACATCTATGTATCCAGCACCTTGCCTATTGATTATTATAATTCTAAACTAGCAAAGTAATGAAGATTACTGCATCTCCATTTTATCAATAAAGAAATGGAAGCCCAGAGAGGGGAGAATAACCTATTGATGTTTGCTAAATAAAATTATCCAGAGTCCTTACTATCCAATACAAGATCAAAAGACTATTCCAGCAATGGGTGAGGTTATGGATGAAGTCTCAGGGATCTCGGGGGAATCACCTTTCCTGGGGCTGGGAAATGCTGTTTCCCTTTCATACACAATCAGAGAGAAATGAGGGGTGGAATTGAGAGATATATGGAGAAAGAAATTTGCGTGCCCCGACCTTAGGCCAACAATGAGCACTTTGTATGTGCACAGTTCTCCTTGGGCCCCAGAGTGGAATGAGAAGAACACTACAAGAATAGGACATGCCCTTGCCACAAGGGGACACATTCTGCAAGTGGAGTAGGATGAAGGTTGGTACTGCCAGGGTTTCCAGCCTAATTGAAGACCAAGAAGGGAAAATTTAATCCTGGTGAACAGCTCTTCTACACCCTGGGGACCTTTACCCACCAATCTTCTTCCTTCCCTTCTGATTCCCATCCTCACTGGGCTTAGGAATAAAATTTATAGTCACTTGTTATGACCTGATCATGTCCTAAATAAAAATGCAGGCATCTTGGGCCCAGCCTTGATTCAATTACTAAAACAATATTTAGGTCAATCCTTTGTCCCCTTTAAGCCCCAATCCCCTCATATTTATGTGAAGAATACTAATCCCTCTCTTCCCACCCCATTTCTCAGGTTCAGGTGTGAACACTACCAAAAGGACAAGTGCCAAGCCCTGGAAGAATGTGGCGATGTTGTGCTTGCCATGGTTCCCTAGGCAACTTTTCTGGTGCTTAAGAGCAGCCACCCTTCTCATCTTTGCACGCCTTCCTGGTGCTAAGCAAAGGCACTTGAGATAGTTGCTTTGAGGCCAAGAGGCTAAGGTGGGGCTGTGTTTTAGTCCCTCCCCACAGTTCCAAAGTAAAGGTGCAGGGTCCCCTGGAGGCAGAGGGCAGTGTACTCCAGCATGGAATTGTGGGGAGACCAAGATCCCTGCCCTAGGGAAGCCCACTGGCTGAGAACAGAACCAACTCTGATATGCAGGTAGAAGTGGAGTGGGTAAAGAAGGGACTGAAAGTCTCCCAAATGCTCCTCATTCTCATTAGGGTCAGACTTCAACCTTCCTGTGCCCCTCCTTCCAAACTGAACAAAGACTCTCCCAAAACTCCTGACCTCTCCATTGATCTTCTGTCATACTTTCTCCTCTGCGGATACCCCTCCTTACTCTCCAGCATTCCTCAGTGCTTGTTTTGGCAATGGGTGATCTGTGTCAGGCTTTACACTGGATCCTGAGGGCACAGGGATGAATCAAGCCAGAAATCCATTGTCCAAAGGTTGCAGACAGGTACAGAAAGTGGACAAGTGTTGAGATGAAAATAATGGAGCTAATATGGAATTCTGAATCCACTTCACCCAGGCTGGGGACAGGGAAGGCTCTAATGTATGTCCCCACCCACACCCACATCCCACCCAGACAGTGAGCTCCTTGAGAGCCTAGGCAAGGTATGATTCTCTCCCCAACTCACTTGGTTTTTTTTCTATTCCCCAGGATGCATGTAGATGACTACACTACCCCCAAAGAATTATCCCTTGGAGTAAGACTAAGCCTAGAGTTCAGTCCCATGTCCCATGTCAACCACAGAAAAGAGGCAATTCCCCCAGCAAAGAATGAGAAAAGTGGATTCAGGAGGAAGGAGCAGGAACCATGCCTCTTCCTGAGACTTAGTTGCTGGCATCTATACCTGGGTTCCCAAACTTGGCTTTAGAGTAAAACATGTGGGGAGGTTTTTTAACTCAGGCTTCTAGGACATTGCTAATGAATTAGAATTTTCAGGTGTTGGAGGCCCAGGAATCTATTTCTCCCAGTTGGTTCCAGTTCCTTGCCCTGTGTCAGAAACTACTGATCTAGGTCTCCAGGACAGGAGACATTCCTGAGGGTGGGTGTTAAAATGGTCCCTACTAAGTTGTACTAATAGGAAGACAAGACAGGATCTGAGCCCAGGAAAATGCCATGGCTCCTGAGCCACCCAGGAGTATGGCAAAGAAAACTTGCCCTTCGGGGATAGCAGCCTCTTGGACACTCTGGGAGATCTGTGTGGCAGCATTTATCTCTGACATCACTTTCATTTTCAACCTGAGAAATGGAAATTTACACTACAGAGAGGAAAGAGGATGCTTTTGACACTAAATGTAATTCCCTACTTCTATGGGACTATCAGGGCTTTGGGTTCGCCCCTGTGTGGTCCCTGAGCCTTTGGTACAGCCTTGTCTGAACTCTGGGCCTCAGAATGGTGGGGAGAAGTCTGACCTGTTTGGGCACCAACTTTGAGGTGCGCACTGCACCAGCTAAAGACAGGAATGAGGAAGCAGTCCCAGAGAGACAGCTGATAGGAGTCATGGCTCCCAGGTCATGGGCTGCTGCCCGAGGTGATGGTATCCCTCCACAGCCAGGAAAGGATTAGGCCTGATTCTCTGAAGGAAAGAAGGCCATTTCCTTTCTCCACCCTTCCCCACATACCTGGTCGGCATGCCCAAACAGCCAATGAGTGGGGGGCCCTGGGAAGTTGTCCATGGCCCTGGCCAACTTGTGCCTCCGTAGCAGCAAACAAAGAAGCTTCAGGATGCCTATGACCAAGATGACTCCAGAAGGCCACAGGATCAGGTGGGAGAGGCTCAAGGAGAGGAAAGTGAGTGCCATGGCTGGAGTTGCAGTGCCTGAAGTCTGCCCAAACTCCAGCTGCCTTGAGGTTCTCTTATACTTTAGACCTAGGCATCCTGCCAGTTCCCAGCTACACCCGGCAGCCAGCAAAACTCAGGCCTGGCTGAGTGCCATAGGGAGGAAACAACAATCTCAAAAGTAATGAACAACTGAGGGGAGAGCCAAGCAGACGTCTCCCAAAACAACTTGACTGAAGAGAAATCTGGTAGAGTGTTTCAAAGAAACCAGACATAACATCTCACTTTGGTTCCTTGGAGGAGCAAATAGAGAGCAATTCCTGGGATAATCATTGCCATAATAACAACTGCCTTTTCCTACATGCACTCTGTATGTTTCAAGGACTTTTTTTTTTTTTCAGTATTGCAAACTGAACACAGGGCCTTTGCCTCCCAGAGTGGTGATACAATGAGGAGATCACTCTTTACACCTATTTCCCAGATAATAAAACCAAGGCTCAGCTGGCATGTGCTTCTTATAAGATACTTCCACACTCCCCTTCAGTGTGGACCCTCAGGAAAACTTGAACTTATGCCAGGCTCATGATGCTTTGAGTCCTTTATTTGTGAGTCACCTTTACAGATATTGTTCCAGCCCCATAAAGGAGGCCCTGAGTCAGAAAAAGGATAACTGTACCCCTAAACCATAGTACAAATTTGGCACTTAAGAACACACAATATGTATGTCCTTCAGGATGATGATATAAGATCATAAAATTCAGTCCTTCTTGGATAGATGAAGCCACTTAAGCCCAGAGAGAGGTAAGGAACAGGCCAAAGTTGCACAGCAAGGCAGTGGCCACTCCAAATGCCTCAGCCCAGAGTTCAATTGAAGAACAAGCTTAGCTAGGTGTCTGCCTTACCAGGAGAGTGTCTGCTGTTTCTTCCTCCAGTGTTGGGTTTTAACAGTCAGAGCCCCAGCAAGACACAGAATTCACAACAGGTGTTTCAGAGGTAGAGACATGGATGCTGGACTCCTTTCAGAAGGGAAGGCAGAGTTAAAATATCAAACAAGTTAAGATGTGGTATCCAACAGGAAGCCCATCACACTTCCAGGTAGAAGGATCAAGGGGAGGAATAATGTTCTCAGAGAGTGGTGAAAATGTATGTACAGGGGACACAGCTATGGCCAAGAAGTGATGCTGGAATAAGGAAGGCATAGAGAAAAAATGTCCCAAACCTTTCCCTCTCCCACTTTCCAATTTCCTATTGGTGTCTCTGATCAGTCAAACTCAGAAATGAGATGAGAAGGGAGGCTAAGAGAATCAGTCTATGGAAAGTGTCCTCCCTTCAGGGAGAGTAAAGCAGACTGAGTGTGGCAGGGAGATGGCAGGGAGAAGACCAGAACACAGGTGGAACTGGAAGTCAGATCTGAGAACTAAGATGGCAAGTATTGACTCTGAGATGAGAAGGTGTCCACACAGCCTCTTTGTGCCTTCTAGCAGGGGAGTCCAAACCTCTTGCACATTAGGGAGTCAGCATAGCCAGTCCTCCCACAGACAGAGAAATCAAGTCATGGGTACAATGAGAAAAACATTACAAATGTGCCTCTGCATTGGTCTGTCACACCTCCTGAAATCCCACATTTGTGCTTCATTTCATTGGATCAACACATTGTGAGCCCCATGTAAAATGCAAATCACTCAGGTCAGAGAATAAGGGAAGGTGATGAGCTAGCTTCACAGACTTCCATATCTTACAGTGAATTTGTTTATCCAGCCTGGCAGGAAGTAATTAGGAGAGACTCTGAGGGAATTTGAGCCTCATAAGGAAGCTGTGGGTCCTGGCAAGAATCAAGTGGCCTCACCTGAAAGTGGAAAAGGTTAGCAGAGAAGTTACATGGGTAGAGTGGACATTAGTTGAATGACTCCCCAGCTTCCATTTCCTGATTCTCCCTTTTACCTATTATGATACCATGAATTTACTGCTTTCAAAATGCAGTGGGCTTGACCTTAGCCTCAAGTCACAAAAGGCACTCTATGTAAGAGAGTACTCAATACTTGTCACACAACAGAGCCTATTGTCTCATACCCTATTGTCTGTCCCCTGGCTATAACTTGGTATCCACACTTCTAGGGCAAAAGGCAGGTCAGCATGTGGCCAAAGGCACAGGCTGGGCCGCAGAAAACTTTCAGGTCCTGATCTGCTAGCTACTCACCCCGGCCACCTTGGTAGTGTGATTAAGATAGTCTGTATTCACCTTGCTCCCAGTAATTTATTATTTTCAGGGCAAGAAAAAAAAAAAGACAGCCAATCAGACCTAATGAAACTCAGTTTCTGGTCTTAAATTAAGATATCTGGAAAGAGACTATCTTTAATGTTGGATATGAACCTGAAAGAATACAATCTCCTAAATTGTTGGTGTAAGAAGAGCTGGTCAAGAATGTTCTCAACACCAAAGAAATAGAACTGAGAGTTATACAGACAGAAAGTGAAAACCCATATATTTACCCATTTTCTATTGCTGAAGCTGGGCAATTTGTAGGTAAAACAGGTTTATTTAGCTCACAGCTGGGGAAGTTCATGGGCATAATATTGTCTTAGGCTTGGCTCTAGTGAAGACCTCATAGTGGATGGCATTATACTCACAGGAGCACCCGCCAGAGGTAGAGATTACATGGCCAGATAAGAAGCCTGAGATGGGTTCAGGAGCCAGGCTTGTTCCTTTATAACAACTCTCACAAGAACTAACCAGAGTCTCATGAGAACACCAGTTCCTTCCTTTTAAAAGCAGTGCCCTCAATGATATAATTACTTCCCACTGGGGTCCAACTTGTAAAGGCCCTACCACCCCTTAACATCACCACAGTGGGGAGCGATCTTCTAACACATGAGCCTTTGGGGGACCTGTTCAAACTATACCCAAACCATAGCAACTAGTTATATTGTTTGAACTCCTAGACCAATCAGAACTTTCAAAAATAACAAAGAGCCCACTGTGATATGCATGTCATAGGTTCACCACCACCTACTGCTTAGATTATCTTTGAACCTTTTAATTACATGATATAGTAAAACCCTGTAAATGTTAAATCCCATTTGAGTTGGGTTTTCTTCTTCCTGAAACCATAGGACTCCTCCATGACACACTAGTGAAAGCCCAGAAAAGTAGGAAAGGTGTGGTTAAGTGCAGCTGACACATATTTGGGGAATTAGATCTGGAAAAACTGAATGGAACCAACCTGAGCAATGACAGATAGGACTAACCTGGAATATTTTGAGGAATGGGGCTCACCTAGTAAGTAGTGGGTTCATAGAAGAGCTCTAAGCGGGATTTATAGAGATGAAATTAGTTTAAGCAAAACTTCCACAACAGGAGGTCAAGCAATCATCTGGGTATGGTGGAAATGAGGAGCATAGTTTTCAAGAGAAGCATGTATCTGAGATATTGTGAAGCAGCAAACACAAAAAAGACACAAATGTGAAGGAAGATCTAATGCCAATGCTCCTCAAATTCTTTAAAGAAATAGAAGTGGATAAAGTACTCCTGAAGTGATTCTGGGAAGCTAGCACTACCCTGATTGCAAAAACAGACAAGGACCCAACCAAAAATGAGAACTACAGGCTAATCTCATTAATCAACAGAATACAAAAATCCTCAGCAAGATCCTGGCAAATAGAATGCAACAAATCATCATTTATCATGACCAGGTAAGCTTCATCCCAAGGAGGCCAGGGTTGTTCAACACACGCAAAGCAATACACGTAATATATCACATAAATTGAAGCAAAGGAAAAGTCACATGATCATCTCAATAGTATAGGGAACAGGGACATCGCTAGAACCTCTACAGCAAGTCCTAGTCGCCTGCGAGCCACAACAGCACAAGGCAAATTAATTTACTAGACAGAAAAGATAGAAAAATGAGACTTCAAGAAGAAACTGAGCTTTCAACCTGGTCAATGCTGCTCCGGGCAGCAAAGACAAAAAGCCCCTGAGCTTGCCACACCTTTATTCAGTACATCAGGAGTAACAAATGTAACTGGTGGCTCAGATAGCAGAGGGGGCCCAGGGGCGGGAGTGGGGAGTGAAAATTCTAGAACAATGAGGAACTATGCAGATGAAGATTTTGTTCCTCCCCAAGATGTCTTCAGCTGGCTTAATCTTGCCCTCTCGCATCACAGCATCACTGGACCATTGTGTTCCGTCTGGACACACCATAGGTGGCCTCTAGGCAGGAAAACTAGGTTTAATCATAATTTTAATTGTAAAATGATTTGTGCCCAAAATTATGTACAATCGCTCCTGACATAATAGATGCAGAAATAGCCTTTGACAAAGTTCGACATCCCTTCATGATAAAAGCCCCGAAGAAAATAGGTTTAAAGGAACCTTATCTCAATCTGTCAAAAGTTATTTATGACAACTTCTGGCAACATCATACTAAATAGGGAAAAGCTGAAAGCTCTCCCTTTAAATTCAGGAATGAGACAGGGATGTCCACTATCAGTACTTGAAACATTAGCCTGAAGAGTCAGGCAAAAAAAAAAAAAAAAAAAAGATACAAAAAGAATATGTAAAAGGAAAAAAAAGAAATCATGTTATCATTATTTGTATGTGACATAATCCTCTACATAGAAGACACCAAAAAAAATCTACCAAAGACTCTTAGATTTAATAACCAAATTCTGTAGTGCATCAGGATACAAAACCAATAGTGTCCTAGCCAGGCGTGGTGGCGCACACCTGTAATCCCAGTACTCGGGAGGCTGAGGCAGGATGATCACTGTGAGTTCGAGACCAGCCTGGGCTACATAGTGAGTTCCAGTTCAGTCTCAACTACATAGTGAGACCCTGTCTCAAAAAACAAAACAAAAACAAAACAACAACAACAAAAATACCAATAGTGTCCTTAACCAACAACAAAGTACTCACTGAGAAAGAAATAAGGAAAACAATACCATTCATAAAAGCATAAAAAAAAGTTAAATGCTGGACTGGGGATTTAGTTCAATGGCACCTTGCCTGCCTGGCAAGCGCAAAGTCCTAAATTCAATAACCAGTAAAACAAAGAAAAGTTAAATACTTAGGAATTAACAA